TTAGTCGCTAACAATTAAAAAGGGATCAGACGATTGTGTAAGGGACAAACCTCTTGAGACAAAGTCCCAAAAAGGGGCGTTTTTTATTGGCGATGACTTTACAATTGGAAAATAAAAATAAAATGCCTCCAAGGAGCGCAAGTACACGAGTTACTGTGAAAGAAGTGTTTAAATCTAAACTAAGAAATTTAAAGTTACATGTTCTCTGTTCGAGAGTTTTTGATTCGGGCTCTTTGCTCTATGTCTTTTCTTCCTTTTATACTCCCTGGATGATCTCTTTGTGATCAACCGCCTAAAAACTGTGAGGTGGATTACTCTATATTTCAGGCAGTAAAAGGAAGCTAAAATCTTATTTATTGTATTGTCCAATTCTGCCTAGTACAACTTACCAAATATGCCAACAGTGTCACACCAACAAGGAGAAGAGACAAAATAAAATAAGACATCACCTTTAGGACAAAAAAAATGTCATGCATTTATGTCGTCTAAGGAAGTTTTATTCGAATGCCTAAGCTTCCTAAGATGCTGAGCTATCTCGATCAATAGTTTAGTTGCTTCACCGCCTCTTTGTAGTGTCATTGCAGTATACTTTAAGAAACCACTGTCTGCTTCAATAGCTCTCAACCTCTCCCTAATTGTGGACACTTCTCTTTGAAGTGTGACCTTGGTCCCGTCTTCATGCTCAAGTGCATCGACCTCTAAGATATCAGATCTTTCATCTAAAGGTGCGTTTATCTTTTTCTCAAGTTCAGCTAAAAGACCTAAAAGATAAGACCGTTCATTCTCAAAATCTAACTGTAATTCATCGGAAATCCCTTCTCCATATTCCATTGATCTATCATACGGACGTTCGTTTTCTCCACTCGAGCTACCACAGTCTGATTTCTCACCGAAAGATGACGAGGACTGGGATTTTATTTCTTGATAATTTTCATCAGCATCAGCTTCAACACTGCCACGGCCTACTTTCTTGATATGCCCGTATTTTTCTCTATACGCCTCGAGTTCAGACTCTAAAACCTTTATCTCTTCCTCTCTTTTTAACAGCAAGTCTTTCATTACTTGCATAGCTTCCTGATCGTATTCGGCCTCCTCTTCCATCACTCTCTGGTACTGTAAGGCCTCCATTTGGACGGTTGCCTTCTCTGCTTGCAGTCGAGTAATCATAGCCATTGCATTGTTCGCTGCAATTGCAGATGCACTTCGTTCTTCGTCCAGTTCCATGTATAATTCTATTAGGGACTTGCGATCCAAACGAACTTGTCTCTTCAAACAACTCAATATGTTTCTGTCTGTCTCATTATGAACATTTGCAACATTAAGCTCGGAAAAGTTGTCAACCAATTGTTTTCGAGCTCCATTGTTAGCCCATTTAGGACTGGCTTGAGTTGAATCGGACAATGAAATCCCGAAAAATTTGTTTCCTCCTCGAACAAAACTCCGGGTTTTGCAAAAATCTTCATAATCCTCATAATCTGGTAGCAGTGAAACAACAGCAGCTTTTCCACATTCTCTACCTACTTTAAAACAACAGAAAAATGTACTCAATGCATGTCTGTTATGCGTGCTGAATAGGATTGGACTGAATAATAAGCAAGATTTTAGATTTTTTATTTTTTTATTTTTTTTAAAAATATTGTCAAGTACTTTTCAATCCTCCTATCAAACGAGCCATTAGGATTCGAATTTCATGTAATATCTTTGGCATTGAAAATTTGTCCATTTGAAGGGACAAAACAGTTTAGCAACGATTTTATACACAGAAGTTTAATAATGTTATGTTGAAAGTATCAATGCACGTTTGGCATGCAATACATAATAGGATAGAACAAAGTAGACAAGAAACTTTTTCCTTTGAAGTGTCAAGTATTGTAGAGTCGACCTTATCAAAAAATTTGTTAATGGACTCGATTAGTGAAAGAGAATGTATACATTTCATTTTAACAGAAAATAAAGAAAATAGTAGAGCAATTTAACTCACTCTGATCATCTCCATTTGGAGCATATTCCTCAGGAAGTTCTGATTCGGCATCTGATGTGAATCTAAGCTCGGAGTACCTAACGTGAGGCAATTCTATGTTTCGTCCATCCTCGTTTCTGAGTAAGGATACTCGAGGAGATGGAGTTGGAGCATTTATCGATAAACTTCTGTTATACTTATAGGAGGGTCTTATTTTCAAAGGCTCATTACAGCAACATCTACGAATCCCACCCTTGTCGTCCAAGTGCTTGGTTTCATCCTTCTTTCCCGTTCTCGGATTATCTCCCACGAACAAATCAATATCTTTGTGCAAAATCCCGACTAGAGACTTGTACTGTTCGCAATCAGAATCTTTCTCCGTTGCATACGAAAGAAGGCAAACTTCACACGTACTACGAATATCAGATAGCCTCTTGTGCACATGGCAGTATGCGAGGGACGAGATGTCCTTCTTGTGAACCGGGCATATGGAATCGTTGTAGTCAAAACTTGAATGTCTACGAACGAGAACATGATCAATCCTCGTACATAACAAGCACGGAATTCTCAACTCGAAAAACTTGGCATATTCATTGGAAACGAAAGCGAGAAACCCATCGATGAAGAGTAAAATGATCATCACCCATTCTAGAATGGCATATATCACAAAATGTGGGAATTTTCCCAACCTCTCTTCGATAAAGCCGTTGAACGATTTAGCCCGCATCTTTACACAGTTACCGAGGAAAATCCCAAATCGTAGATTGATACAAAAAAAGTGAAACTAAACGAGATAGATCATGACCATCCCCAGATCATGACCTCTCTCTCTCTAGCTCGTCTGTACGAGGAAGAAGATGAACAAATTTGTCTGATTGCAGAAAAACTTAATGGTGGTGTTGATTTGAGCTATATATGGTAAAGGGTGTTTGAAAAATAGAAAAACTGCCAAGCGTACCATTTACCTGAATTAACGGTCAATCTCCCCAAGGAAACCAAACTCCTCTTTTCTTTTGGCTAAAATTTTGGAATTTTGAGATTTATTTTATTTTTTGGAAATTTTGTATACAACTTCTAAGTTTCTCAATGATCTCAATGTTGTCAAAGATCGAGTGCCTAATCGAATTGATTAGGTTACACAAGAATAAAATTCATAATTCACTTACGAGAGTTTCCTCATAAAGTTAGAGAATCAGGTGATTTCTAGCTTATACTTCCATCAAATGGTTGCTGACTTGCTTGAGCATCGACACTGACCAAAGTGAACTTACTGAGAGCGTGCTCGGGTTGACTTAAAAAAGATAAGCTTCTTATAAGCGAAGTTATACACGTTTAGATAAGTTGTGGGACTCAAAAGTCGAACATAAAAGTTAAATTCGACCTGCTGCGGTAAATTAATGTTCACAAGCACATACATGGACAACCATAACATGTCTAGTACGCAAGACTCGTGAACAACAATTAGGTTGGTACAGTAACTCATTGTAACATGTTTTTCGATCTATAAATTACGTAAATTGAGTGTCTAGAGCAATAAATGTCAAACGTGACAAAAGTGAAGAAGCTAACATCTCGGATAGTTGTAGAAGAGACTGTATAAAAACTCTTGGACTTCGACTACTGGCCTTCGCTCCTAATTAGTAGATAGAACATTTGCTGACATATAAGGGGAAATACAGCCTTGAACCTGAAAAAGAGACAGTTCGAACTAAAAACTCGAGAGATACAAATACCTAGACAAGCAAAAATGATAACAAAATCAAAACAAGGGGAGGATGAAGCAATTTTAGGCAAGCATAAAACTCATTTGAAGGAGCTGTAGACAAATTCAAGAATCCTTGTAGCCAATTCAAGGTCAATGGCCCAAGCAAACTGAAATAAACCCAAAATATACAAAAACAATAATCGAATTCAAGAATCGTCATTAGTCAATCATAAATCAAGTCTATCTATAACCACAAAAGCACAAAAATTCATTTATTTGCTGGTTGCACATGGTGATTCTAAAAGAGTGTGAAACGAAGGGCATTTTTATGTAGATTTTTTGAGAAAAAATTTTGTCGGAAGTGATTTTTCTAGAGAAAATGGTTAAGAAGTAGGAAAAAATTATGTGCGCACGTGCAAAATTATTTTATTGTGAGAATGTGTGGTTGAAAATAAGTTTGGAGAAAAATAAGTTTTAAAGAATATGTACCAAAAAGAGGCTATGGTTTTATGTTAACACTTTTGGCTCATTTTTTCTCCTAATTGCCAGCATTATTTCCACCAGCCCTTTCTACTGCATTCTCCTATACAAAAAGCTTTGATTCAGAGGCTAGAAATCATCAATTGAAATTAGTCTTGACCTTAATCTCATTTGAGCATGAAAATATAGCTTCATTTAAAACCTTACTCAGACTGCTGCTAAAGTCGGGTCATTGCAAATTACGACTAAGCTTGCTAATGCTGATAGATTATCGACTACTTTGATGATTAATTTGGCTATCATTTGTGAATGATTGCTTCAAAAATGCACAGAGTGATTATGGCACCCATTTCCTAAAATTCATTTTTCTTTAAACTCATTTCAGCCGCACATTTTAGGGACCCACAACTTCTATTCACTTTTCAATCTCACATTTCATACTTTTATCAAAATCTAGTAAAAATCTAATTTTTAGCTAAGCCAAACATGGTAATGTTTCACCAAAGTTCATATGTTGCCTAGGATTAGCTCAGAAAAGGAGGAAAAGAAGCAAATAAAAGTCTCATTTGCTCAATTTGCTTTTTAACTTCTCTTGCTCTATAAACTATTTTTATTTAGACTTCTAACATAATTTTGTATGCTGCAAACAGAAAAAAATAAAAATGAAAGGCACGTCATGGAAAGAGGTGTACCTGCAGTAAACAAGTAGGAATTGAAATGAAGCCTTGAAGCAAAAGATCAACATTCTCCAGAGTCTGCTGTGGAACGGGGGTAATAACATAGAGCAAACCTTTGAAAGTGTCAATGCCTCTCACAATTCCTGGTTTTGGAAAAGCAAAACTGAGCCTTCACGTGAAATAATATAATGATTGATGATTCAAACATAAAACTTAAAGAAGAACGAGAATCAAAAGCTGCATAGGACAAGTATAAAAAGTTCAGACAAGGCGACCAACCCAAGCCAACACAATGAGGTAATTCATCAGAAACTCCAGAACTAACTGCCAGACCAACAATAGTCGCATTCAAGCAGTAGAACGTTTCAGTCTTTGGTACCTAACAGTAAGTTATTGCACTATCAAAAAATTCATTCCTAGATAATGGAATTTTATGACCATCGTAAATTAGAAAAAAAAATTTTGACGTACATTAATCTTCAGCAAATGATGTCAAGATGCCAAAAAGTTGAACATACCTCGCAATGAACGTGTTTCATTTTGACACTAGATATAGAAATTTCATATGGAGGGTGTGCGGCTAATGCATGAGCTAGTTCCTTAATTGTGGAGATATTCATCTCACTAGGAAAGCATTGTCTGAAATATGCCATTACACGTAGATCTCTCAGAAGACGAGAATCTTTTTGTACGAGCAACCTGGAAAAGACTAATTGTTAGAAAATATACACTGGGCAAACTTATACCTTCTGAAGAACTCTAGACCACCCCATATAATCCACATTGGCAAGGTAAAACAATTTTCAGTAGACTATATTCTAACATAAAAATGAAAACCCAAAGAACATACGATCTCTTCAAATGGTCCCGACGAGCAGAATTGATCTCAATGACAGTAACTCTATTAGTATTTCCCTCGTCTAACCAAAATGCCCCAGCTGGTAAGTTCTTGATCTCAGACGATATGCAAATTTTAACCACATGTGTAGGAGAAATATACTTCAACATGTCCACCAGTATTTCATAACCAATACCTGACACAAAAAAATAAATAAATAAAAAATAAAAACAAATAAAAATAAAAAAAAAACAAAGAAAAAAGAGAACAGTATGACATTTATATATTCGAGAACGAGCAAGTTTAACACTAAGCATGAGTAATTAAAAAACTTAAAATTAAAGCATAATGCCAAGAGAAAATAGAAGGATTGACAGTGAAAACACCTTTAACCCAGCCAGGGGTATTTATGACAAGTGGCAGTCCAGCACTATCATGGCTGTCAATCGTGCTTTTCATACAGTGTTGCTTTCGATAGTGATCATACAGGGAAAATATACATGTCAAATAAGCCGTTGGGTTCCTTTTTGAGGAAATGTCACCGAAGAAAAAGCATCTGAAAGGAAATTTAGACAAAAAACAGTTGGATAAAGTTCATTCAATATATTTGATAGACATATTGCTTATCCAGCTGAAAATATGCACTAAATAATACTAAACAAGGCCTCCACAGTATAATGTTGGGTGCATAGAGAATTGCTGGACAAATTATTGATTATTCGCACACTAGACCATAAGATTAAAAGACCACAGCACAAACAGTACATAATCTTAACATTCTATCAAATTTAAGGAACAAAGAGTTAACAAATCAATTAATCTTGAAAATACAAATTTTATGCTTCATATCTGAACAAAGGCAACTTCAATAATCATTATGAGAACTCATTCAAACTTCCAAAGAAGTTTGTATTAACAAACAGTCGAACACCAAAATGCATTAATATAATTGCAAATGCTAAATGAGACGAGCATAATTCTATGTCCTTCTAGATGCGATTGTCATTAGCATTTTCAAACTAGTAACATTTAAACAACACATATTGGAAGAGAACATCATTGCCAGATAACAAACTAGAAAAAAATTATCAACACATTTTTGCAAGGTGTCTAAAAAAATAATTTTTTATCAAACTCGTCCTCGAAGTATCTTTTCCAGCCAAAGAAATGCGTAAGCAGTGTATCAATCGCATATTCCTCTCTAGTAGCTATATAAAGAAAATAATCAAATAAAAGCTAAATGATTTATACCTGTCGGGGGTTTTGAGACATGGAATTGTCAAATCTAAATAACAAGCAGAAAAAATAAAAAATTATTAGGAAAGCTCGACCGACTAGAGAGAGAGAGAGAGCATCAGTAACGATGTACCTGGAGTTACTTTGTCAACCACAATAAGCGATAGAAGACCAGGAGGAGTAAATTCCGTCTGCCCAACATCAGTATCCAGGTAAGCAACTTTGCTATACCTGAAACACAAAAATCATACATTGAACATCTACTCTATTAATTAATGACAAATCGGGACTCCACCAGGTTCTTCCTACACCATTTCATCAGTCTACAAATACAGTCTATGAGAAACAAATTCAAGCTCCAATTTTGCAGATTATACAACCAATTTTGCAGATCATACAACCCACTCTCACATGAATAATGTTATTGTGCATATATCTCTTTATCCGTGCGGGCACCATCTACCGATTCAAAGGAATATATGTACTACAAAGAATACGTTTGTAGGCCTGATGATTTGGGCATATCCACACCACTATAGATTGATCTCTATGTAATTCAATGCGAAAACGTGTTCAAGTTCAAATTTTGTAAATCAACACACGCAGGCATAAATATAAGACCATGGTGATGTATTTCATATTTTAACTCCAGCTTGTGAACCAATAAAAATATGAAAAAATGGACAAGTTCCAATCATTCAAATAAACCTATACATAAAATAAAAACAATTAAATATCGCCAGAAATTCATCCAAGTATCAAAAAAACAACAAATTTATCAAATTACTTGTCACCTACAATTCGAAGTACCAATAACCCAGTTAAGAACAAAAAAAAAAAAAAAAACCTTCGAAGTAGGACATTGAGGAGGTGGCGGGAGAAAGTGGTTTTGCCGCTGTTTTTGGGGCCGCAAACAAAAACAGATGGAGGGTTTGAATAATCTGAATTATTGGTTATGGCTTCCGCTGCATTAGACCATTCTTCAGGAACGAATATTTCGGGTGATGAATTCTCAGTTTCAGCCATTTTAGCGGTAACAATGATTTCTATTTCTTCCCTTTCTCCTCTCCTGTTGTATATCAATACATACACTTGGCATCACATTTATATGTATATTCCGTGGCAGTGGCGTGGGGGCAGCCACGCTGTAGGCGTGTGTAGCAGAGTCTTGTACTTTTTTGAGTTTTGAGAGAGACGAACTTGAATTGAATGGCAGAGGAGAGGAAGGGTTTTTGTTTGTAATTATTTTATTTTTAATTATAATTGATGAAAAGGATTTAGGTTTAGCCCCTTTAATTGCCATTGTAATGAAAAATTTGGATAAAAAATATTTTGAAATAGTAATTTTTGAAATAATGTGTCGTTAAAAAAGAAGGAATATTTTTTATGTGTAATATTATTTTATTAAAGAATATGTGGTAAAAAAAAAAGAGAAAAATGTATTAAAATTTTAAAGAGAATACTAATATTATTAATTTGACAAAAATAGTAAAAATAAAAATTAGACTTGTGTGAATATTTCCTTAAATGGAAAATATCAAGAAAAAAGTAATTATCATCATCAACTCGTATAAAATTAAAAGTTATTTTTTCTATCTATTAAGTAAAAGTTCAGTATTAATTTTTACAAATATTCAAAATTACTACAAATTTATTAAGCTCCTATTTGGGCTCTTTCTTTTTCTGTTTCTTTTTTTCTTTTTTCTTTTTTTTTCAAAAATTCTTTTTTTTTTTGTAATTTATTTTCAATTACATATTCTTTCATTTAATAACTTTATACGTAAATTTTTTAACCACATATTTTTCAAAAAATTATTTCCCAAAACATATATCCCCAAAAAACGGACGTCAAAAAGGGGCTAATTACATGTTCCGTGAAACTCAATATTTTTCCTCCATAAAAATTACTAATTATTTTATCCAAACACTTACTTTGTAATAGAATTCGAAAAGAATAGATAAAACTTGTGCATGTTTGCCACGTGATTTATGCAACATGATTTTAACTGCAAGTGTACGGTGTCAAGTTTTGTAATATTTGAAATACAAGTGTCGAACCCATAGGTATTGATATTTGAATCCTATCGAGTACTATAATTATTTTAACTTTCACTTTATTTAGACAATCAATTTTTTGAATCGATGTTTTATTGCTAAATTAAAATAAATGAGATGAACGATGCAAAGTGAACAAGGGCAATTTATAAAGTTTCTTATCAAATTATGAATGTCTAGAGAGTGATTCACCGTACTATCGACAATGTTTTTCAACCGTTATAACTATTTCTATCAATCTTTCCAAATTTTATAGGCAAGATCACTAAATTGGTTCAATTTCCCTCTTTCGAGTGCCAAATAGAATCTATTTCTATATTTTAATTCCAATATCTTCTTTCCGAACTAAAATATAAAAATCATCAAGCACGTGGTTCTTAATTGAAACAAGTCTCAAAGATTTCTCATTTTTTCTTGAAACCTACAAAATTTAGGTTATGTTGTCTTAGATCACGCTTCGAGCGCCGAAATTTAAAGTATCAAATCATTCAATTAGTGATCAGTTAATTGAAAGCATTGTGCAAGAATAACATAAATAAATAACTGAAAAGATTAATTGAAATAATTAAATCAGAATCAAAACATGTTTTAGTAAGTTACATCAAACCCTAGAATTAAAGCTTAGTTCATAATTAAGAGAATCGACATGCATAAATTATAAAGAAGGAACATGGAAAAGAAAAAGGATTAGAAAAACTCGTTTTGTTGCCGCTTGATTTCTTCTCCCAAAGTTTGCCAATTTATCTCAATTAATTTCATCTTTTATTTATTCTCTAGCCATGTCCAATTGTATCCAGCCGTCTTTCTTCAAAGTGTTGTCCTTGCTGGCGGAATCTCTTCTCAATCTCCTGGTGGTTGAAGCTCTCTTCCAATTCCAGATTTCTATGTTTTTGCCGGTTGGCTCCCCCTTTACTCTTGGTCGTTTCCCTCTTGAAGTTGTGGCTTTAGAATGGTGTTTATATGCTCTTCAAATCTTGGAAAGAATAGGGTTGGATTGGGCCGTGAAGAGAGTCCAAAGATTGTAAAATTCTTCCATCGCAAGGTGGAACTTCGGCATCCAATTTGGGTGCTGTGGCACCATGATTTCTGCATAATTTCAGCAAGCTGGGCGCTGCAGCGCCAATTCGGTCGAAAAGACATTCTGCGCGTTTTTCAGTATTTCAAGCATAACTTTCTCGTCCGATATCCGATTGAAGTGATTCAAGATGCGTTGGAAAACTAATTCAAAGGGTTACAACTTTGCTTCAGGCATCATTCTCCAATTCAATCGTTTGCTATGTCAAAAATGGATCTCAATATGAGGCTAAAACTCCGAAGCATAACTTGTTGGTTGGAAATTGATTTGTGATCATATTTTGACTAAATTTGACCCCTTTGACATCTTTCTTCATCCAATTGACTCCCCAACACTCTCAAATCTTCATTGCAAGGTTCGACACAACTTTTGATTAATTGCATTTTAGTCCCCGAACTTTGGATCTCTCACAACTTGGTCCTTTCATCCAATTTCGCCAACTTTTGCCGATTTCCTTCAATTTAATAAACCTATATCATAACATCAAAATACACATTAAAATGCTCTAAAACATTCTCAAGGGTAACAAAATAATGAATTAAGTGGTATAAATATAATGATTGTGGAGCACTCATCAACGTTTATGTTTGAAGCAAAACGAAATTTGTATAAATTAAATTACTCTAGAGACCTTGAAAACATATGACTCGTTCTAATAAAACTTGTATAACTATTCGAATATGACTTGAGTATTCTATTTTTCTCTAATTTAAAAGTAAATAGTTAGTAGCATTACAAAGAACTTTCTTTTTAAATTTTCTTGCATAAAACTTTATAATGTTGTAGAAGGGAACTTCTTCTGATGACATATTCACAAGAACGTTACATTTTCAACATCAATTATTTTGTTTTATCAAATTGTTTAAAAAACAAATCGCGACATAAAATTTGATCGAATATGATCTGTCTTTTGAATTTTATCATACTTTTGATAAGATAATTTTTTAAAAAAAAAAATAATAATGCAAAAATAAAATTCAACCGTCCCACTTAAAACACATTTCATTTTTAATCATGAATTTGAACTCAACGATAATTAAAAAAAAAATCTTATTTATCGTAGAGTTCTTATTTATCCCCCATTTGACAACCATTGAAGCAAAACATTTTTTTTTCTCCAACTCATTTTCAAACACAAATTCTCACAATGAGATATTATGCATGTAAATCAAAATTTTTTCTTCGTCATTACACTATTCAAAAATATATTTTTATGAAAATAATGTGACTCAAACAAGGGCTATATGTGTGTGTTGAAGTACCAAAAGCTAATGCTATTTGTGTCAATTTTCCAAAGAGAAATAAAGAGAAGAAAAAAAATATTTGGTCTAACCCAAGTTTGCAAAAGTAGTTTGGTAGTAGTGTAAGGACAACTTGCAGAAATGCCACTAAAATCAGGTCTTTTGAAAAAATCAAATGAAAAGTATTAAAAAGTAACACTGTCACTTTTTAGATTTAACTGTTGCTTTTTAAAAAAGTTACATACATTATCATTTTTATTTGTCACTGGAAAAAGTGACAGAAAAAAAAAATAGTACAAACATTAAAAAAAGTGACAGAAATTTTTAAAAAATGACAAAAACCTTCCATCAAATGGTTGCTGACTTGCTTGAGCATCGACACTGACCAAAGTGAACTTACTGAGAGCGTGCTCGGGTTGACTTAAAAAAGATAAGCTTCTTATAAGCGAAGTTATACACGTTTAGATAAGTTGTGGGACTCAAAAGTCGAACATAAAAGTTAAATTCGACCTGCTACAGTAAATTAATGTTCACAAGCACATACATGGACAACCATAACATGTCTAGTACGCAAGACTCGTGAACAACAATTAGGTTGGTACAGTAACTCATTGTAACATGTTTTTCGATCTATAAATTACGTAAATTGAGTGTCGAGCAATAAATGTCAAACGTGACAAAAGTGAAGAAGCTAACATCTCGGATAGTTGTAGAAGAGACTGTATAAAAACTCTTGGACTTCGACTACTGGCCTTCGCTCCTAATTAGTAGATAGAACATTTGCTGACATATAAGGGGAAATACAGCCTTGAACCTGAAAAAGAGAGTTCGAACTAAAAACTCGAGAGATACAAATACCTAGACAAGCAAAAATGATAACAAAATCAAAACAAGGGGAGGATAAAGCAATTTTAGGCAAGCATAAAACTCATTTGAAGGAGCTGTAGACAAATTCAAGAATCCTTGTAGCCAATTCAAGGTCAATGGCCCAAGCAAACTGAAATAAACCCAAAATATACAAAAACAATAATCGAATTCAAGAATCGTCATTAGTCAATCATAAATCAAGTCTATCTATAACCACAAAAGCACAGAAATTCACTAATTTGCTGGTTGCACATGGTGATTCTAAAAGAGTATGAAACGAAGGGCATTTTTATGTAGATTTTTTGAGAAATTTTTTTGTCGGAAGTGATTTTTCTAGAGAATGTGGTTAAGAAGTAGGAAAAAATTATGTGCGCACGTGCAAAATTATTTTATTGTGAGAATGTATGATTGAAAAAGAAGTTTGGAGAAAAATAAGTTTTAAAGAATATGTACCAAAAAGAGGCTATGGTTTTATGTTAACACTTTTGGCTCATTTTTTCTCCTAATTGCCAGCATTATTTCCACCAGCCCTTTCTACTGCTTTCTCCTATACAAAAAGCTTTGATTCAGAGGCTAGAAATCATCAATCGAAATTAGTCTTGACCTTAATCTCATTTGAGCATGAAAATATAGCTTCATTTAAAACCTTACTCAGACTGCTGCTAAAGTCGGGTCATTGCAAATTACGACTAAGCTTGCTAATGCTGACAGATTATCGACTGCTTTGATGATTAATTTGGCTATCATTTGTGAATGATCGCTTCAAAAATGCAGAGTGATTATGGCACCCATTTCCTAAAATTCATTTTTCTTTAAACTCATTTTCAGCCGCACATTTTAAGGACCCACAACTTTTATTCACTTTTCAATCTCACATTTCATACTTTTATCAAAATCTACTAAAAATCTAATTTTAGCTAAGCCAAACATGGTAATGTTTCACCAAAGTTCATATGTTGCCTAGGATTAGCTCAGAAAAGAAGCAAATAAAAGTCTCATTTGCTCTAGAGTATGCAAATTGAATAATTTGCTTTTTAACTTCTCTTGCTCTATAAACTATTTTTATTTAGACTTCTAACATAATTTTGTATGCTGCAAACAGAAAAAAATAAAAATGAAAGGCAAGTCATGGAAAGAGGTGTACCTGCAGTAAACAAGTAGGAATTGAAATGAAGCCTTGAAGCAAAAGATCAACATTCGCTAGAGTCTGCTGTGGAACGGGGGTAATAACATAGAGCAAGCCTTTGAAAGTGTCAATGCCTCTCACAATTCCTGGTTTTGGAAAAGCAAAACTGAGCCTTCACGTGAAATAATATAATGATTGATGATTCAAATATAAAACTTAAAGAAGAACGAGAATCAAAAGCAGCATAGGACAAGTATAAAAAGTTCAGACAAGGGGACCAACCCAAGCCAACACAATGAGGTAATTCATCAGAAACTCCAGAACTAACTGCCAGACCAATAATAGTCGCATTCAAGCAGTAGAAAGTTTCAGTCTTTGGTACCTAAAAGTAAGATATTGCACTATCAAAAAATTCATTCCTAGATAATGGAATTTTATGACCATCGTAAATTAGAAAAAATAAAATAAAATTTGACGTATATTGATGTTCAGCAAATGATGTCAAGATGCCAGATAGTTGAACATACCTCGCAATGAACATGTTTCATTTTGACACTAGATATAGAAATTTCGTATGGAGGGTGTGCGGCTAATGCACGAGCTAGTTCCTTAATTGTGGAGATATCCATCTCACTAGGAAAGCATTGTCTGAAATATGCCATTACACGTAAATCTCTCAGAAGACGAGAATCTTTTTGTACCAGCAACCTGGAAAAGACTAATTGTTAGAAAATATACAATGGGCAAACTTATACCTTCTGAAGAACTCTAGACCACCCCATATAATTCACATTGACTAGGTAAAAACAATTTTCAGTAGACTATATTCTAACATAAAAATGAAAACCCAAAGAACATACGATCTCTTCAAATGGTCCCGACGAGCAGAATTGATCTCAATGACAGTAACTCTATTAGTATTTCCCTCGTCTAACCAAAATGCCCCAGCTGGTAAGTTCTTGATCTCAGATGATATGCAAATTTTAACCACATGTGTAGGAGAAATATACTTCAACATGTCCACCAGTATTTCATAACCAATACCTGACAAAAAAAGAGACGGTATGACATCTATATATACAAGAACGAGCAAGTTTAACACTAAGCATGAGTAATTAAAAAACTTAAAATTAAAGCATAATGCCAAGAGAAAATAGAAGGATTGACGGTGAAAACACCTTTAACCCAGCCAGGGGTATTTATGACAAGTGGCAGTCCAGCACTATCATGGCTGTCAGTCGTGCTTTTCATACAGTGTTCCTTTCGATAGTGATCATACAGGGAAAATATACATGTCAAATAAGCCGTTGGGTTCCTTTTTGAGGAAATATCACCGAAGAAAAAGCATCTGAAACGAAATTTAGACAAAAAACAGTTGGATAAAGTTCATTCAATATATTTGATAGACATATTGCTTATCCAGCTGAAAATATGCACTAAATAATACTAAACAAGGCCTCCACAGTATAATGTTGTGTGCATAGAGAATTGCTGGACAAGTTATTGATTATTCGCACACTAGACCATAAGATTAAAAGATCACAGCACAAACAGTACATAATCTTAACATTCTATCAAATTTAAGGAACCAAGAGTTAACAAATCAATTATTCTTGAAAATACAAATTTTATGCTTCATATCTGAACAAATGCAACTTCAATAATCATTATGAGAACTCATTCAAACTTCCAAAGAAGTTTGTATTAACAAACAGTCGAACACCAAAATGCATTAATAAAATTGCAAGTGCTAAATGAGACGAGCATAATTCTATGTCCTTCTAGATGTGATTGTCATTAGCATTTTCAAACTAGTAACATTTAAACAACACATATTGGAAGAGAACATCATTGCTAGAAAACAAACTAGAAAAAAATTATCAACAGATTTTTACAAGATGTCTAAAAAAAATAATCTTTTATCAAACTCGTCCACAAAGTATTTTTTGCAGCCAAAGAAATGCGTAAGCAGTGCATCAATCACATATTCCTCTCTAGTAGCTATATACAGAAAATAATCAAATAAAAGCTAAATGATTTATACCTGTCGGGGGTTTTGAGACATGGAATTGTCAAATCTAAATAACATGCAGAAAAAATAAAAAATTATTAGGAAAGCTCGACCGACTACAGAGAGAGAGAGAGAGAGAGAGAGAGAGAGAGAGAGAGAGAGAGAGAGAGAGAGAGAGAG